CTCTGCTTCGTAAAATTCTCAAGGAGTCGTCAGCGGCTTTGTCTGCTACTGGACTCAGTATTTCGAGAGACTCTCGGTGGGGCAATGGGACTATAGAAGGTGAGGCCTGGATGGAGGAAGGGAGCCATCCGAACCATGCCTTAGGAAGATAGATCTTAGCCCTGCCCTTTCCTGCTATTCTCAGCCTCTTGGAAGTCCTGATGAGGGCAGCTTTCCCCCGTGATACCCTTGTACCTTGCCATGGGTCCAAAAGCAATAGCAGCAGACCATGTACAGAAGTCTCTGAAACTGTAATCTAAGATAAACATTTCCTCCTGTGGGGATATTTTGTTTGTGCTCTAACATAAAAAGCTTGCCTGGAGATCAGAGTGAGGAGCTAGCCACTAGTTAACCATAGAGGCCCGGCAGTGGTGGCACATACCTTTAACCCCAGCACTTGGGACCTCATGCCTTTGATCAGAGTACTTGGAGGGCACTTACTTTTAATCCCAGCACGAGGGAGGTGGAGACAGGAAGGGATATGGCTGAGCAGAGAGAGAAATATAAGGCGGAGGAGACAGGAGCTCATTACATTCAGTCTGAGGATTCCTGGAGACGGTATCACCCATTTGTCCTGAGGATTTGGTAGAGGTAAAAACTAGTGGCTGCTGCTCTGGTTCTCTGATTTCTCAGCACTAACCCCATATATCTGACTCAGGGTTTTTGTTATTAAGACCAATTAGAATTCACACTACATCCTCCTTTTTGTTGTGCCCAGTCCGTGGGGACTCCAAAAGATCACCATGGAGACCGGCTCACCAAAATGCAAAAGCAAGGTTTATTATTGTAATTGCAGGCCAGCCTGGACCTTGTCAGAGGTACCCTACCCTTCTAGAGAGCATTATTTAAAGGCAGAAACCAGGAAAGTTACATCAGCAGGGTTTGGGGTGACGGGCTGAATCCTGATTGGCTTGTGACTAGAGACTTTTCACAAATTTTTATTTTCGAACTTCACCCTCACCTGTTGCTTGTCAAGGTTTCTTATTGGCTGACCTTGTGGCGGGGTCATTTTATGGTTATCTGTACTTTCCAGCTGCTACCCTGTTACTTTTGCCCCCTAGCCATTTCTGAGGACTGGAATGGTTTATGGAAAATAGCTTACACAAGACACAAGATGGAGGCAGAGGACAAAATGGAGGAACTTTGGTTCTTCACTTTTAACTGATCCCCTCAAGTACTTGTCTCAGTGATGAGAATTCTGCCTAATGTAAATGGGAAGAATCTTGAGCCTGGCTTGGCCTTCCTTCCTTAGTCTTAGCTTCCTACTCTAGTTAACGTTCCGTGCCCCTGGCATTGGGGGGAATGCCAATATTCCTGGGAGAAAATCGGGAGCTTTGGTGGTTTGGATACCCTAAGCACCTGACAATGGAAGGTGTTGACTTCCTGCATTCCTAGCGAAGGCAATTGGCCATGTCCACACTGCGGCCTCCTGGGCAAGGCAGCAACATACAGCTTACAAAGTGTGCTCGTCAGCTAAGGCTGCTGCTGAGTGATCTGTGGTTAGCCAATTGGAAGGCAGCGGGGCCTGGGTGAGGTAAATTGCTGGTTCCCCCATGAGTGTGCCTTGTGGAAATCACAGTGTCTTTCTGGGAGATGCTTCAGTGGGATGACGTAAAGATGGACCTGGGGGCAGGAGAGCCGACCCTTCCCTCCTTTAGAAATCCCCTGCAGGCATCACCAGTGCCCTTGCCTAGGAGAGCGATCCCAGTGGAGTGCGCTTTCAAGTTCAACAGAAAAAAACACTGGTATTTGTTGTTTCAGGTCAGTTTTGCTTCTTAGAAGTTCAGATTTGAAACTGCTTAATTATGCCCCGAGATGGGCCTCACGGCAAAGGCTTCTCGCTCGCTCGAGCTTCTCTGTCTCTGCTTATAAATGCTAAACTGTTTCAAGGTTGGGTTTTAGGCTAATAATTTAGCCTTGGCGTGGGGGTGGGGGCACTGTCGTGATTATAGACATGATTATAGTCAAGTTTCCTGGACTTGTGGCACATAGTAGATGTTTAATAAATGTCCCACAGTTGCTAAGCAGTCTAAATGAGCTCAGTTTTCCGATTTAAAGTAAACCTGCTAAGTCTTAGTAAAAAAAAAAAAATATATTACTTGTTTGGGATTTTTTTCCCCTGGTGGATAAAAAGGACAGGAACAGCAAAATAAGTGTTAAAACAGCCAGGTAAACCACCCAGTCCAGGGTGCGCAGCGGACTCTGCTCCTGCCGCTCCGCGCCGCTGCGTCTCCGGGCCGCTGCGTGGGACGCAGTGCTCGCCTCCACCCGAGTTTCAAAGAGCCCCATCCAGGGGGCGGGTTATCGCTAATGACAAGGTCTCAGGCTGTGGACAACCATGCCGGAGTGGTCTGGTGATGAAGTCATGGGAATTAAGGCATGTTATCTGTCATGAGGTTAAATTCCCAGCGCTGAGCTCCATGGGGCTAGGCACCGCTCTCGGGGCTTATTTTAGAGCTGAATGGAAGCAGGCAATTATCTTGTTCTGCGACTATAATCAGCAGAACAGGATGCAGGTAGCCGCAAAGTGGAGTTATTTAAAACAGAAAAAAGAAAAAGAAAAAAAGAAAAATAAAAAAAAATCTATTCCAAAAGAGCAATAATCTGAAAGTCTCTTCTTTTTGCAACATCTGGTTAAGGATGTCAACGTGTGGAGAAGCCTGGGAGGGTTGACTCTCTGACCTCTGTCGGAACAGTAGTATCAGGCACCACCCTCCCCAGCACCACCCTCCCCGATCCTTTTGCGATGAGCGGCAGGTGCTCAGGCCCGGAAGCTTCCCCACAGTGATTCATTTTACCCTCAGAGTGTCAGCTGGGGTCCCTGGAAAAGTTCCAGGGAGAATCCCCAGCTTCCAGCCATCTGTCAGTCAGGAGGTTACCATGGTTACCACTAGCCAGCTGGCCTTGTGAGCCAGCTGGTTTATTCTGGCTAGGGGTGGGGGCGGGATTGCTCAATTGCCCCTCAGCTGGAAGCACAAAATGCTCCCAGACTTTGGTTCTGAGAACCTGTCTTGGGCAGCATTTGTTAGGAGAGTCCAGAGTGAGCCTCTCAATGGATGCAGGTGTGGCACTGTGCATTTCCGAGACTCAGAACTTATTTCTGAAAGAAGGCAGAGGGAAGTGGATTCAAACGGGCTCTCAGCTCTTCCTAGCTCTCTCACTGGTGAGCTATGTGGACTTGGACTTGTTAGGCTGGGTGAGACTTGCTTTGCACGTCTGGCAAATGGGGCGATGTGCTTTGAAGATTATGGTCACTACCTAGAATCCACCCAGTGGTTGCCACAGTTCTCAGCTCAGAGTGCAGGGTCTGAAGTTAGTCAAGCATGTTCCCCTCACCTCAGCTTCAGAGGGTGCCCTGAACTGCAGTAACAGATATGGTTGCTAGCCAGTGAACTGTCCATCTTCTGCCCGGCTGATTGAAGTCTGGGCTTAGACTTCACCAAGGGTAGTGTGTGGCTCATTCAAGGTCTTTGTTTCTATTTCCATAAACAAAGCTGCTTGTTTGCAAGAAAAAAAAAAGGGGGGGTGTCAGCATAGGGGAGACTGTTTCTGATGCAAAGAGGCACCCAGGACTGCATGGGCTATTGTGTCTCCGCTGCCTTGTACTTACTGTACCACCCCTGTGTGCCACTTGTTGGAGCTGACCTCAATTACGGTTTGGTCAGAGGTGGCCAGTTTTGTTTTTGGCACCCATATGTAGATCTGTTCTGTCTCCCGCGAGTTGTTTCAAGAAGGTCTGTACATGATGTCTTGGGGTTCACTTAGGTGAGATTGTCATCAAGCAGTAATTCACGCATTTGCCTTGGAAAGAATTCCTTTTCCATGATCTATCCTGTGCCAGGGGCTAGGATTGTGAGGGAGTTGAGAGATGACGTCCTACTGGCCTCACAGAATGGTAGTATTGGATCCTCTCTAAGCATAGCAGTAAGTGCACTCAGCGTTAAGCAATGGCCCTTCTAAAAAGGAATTCTTGTAAGGAGAATTCTCCACTGACATGTAGGATTAGATGTGCTAAAATATTTGAAATCTTTCTGTCTCAGGCCAGACTTTGGTCGTTTTTTTTTTTTTTTTTTTTTTTTTTTTTTTTTTTTTTTTTTTTTTTTTTTTTTTTTTTGTTTTGTTTTGTTTTGTTTTGTTTTGTTTTGTTTTTTGAGACAGGGTTTCTCTGTGGCTTTGGAGCCTGTCCTGGCACTAGCTCTGTAGACCAGGCTGGTCTCGAACTCACAGAGATCCGCCTGCCTCTGCCTCCCGAGTGCTGGGATTAAAGGCGTGCGCCACCATCGCCCGGCATTGGTCATCTCTTCTTTGAAATTGTGGGGGGGGGCACTGAAGGTCAGATGGGGACCCATGTCTCCATGTCTCTGACCACTGCTTCTGAGAATGAGATAAAATACATGTTCATTTTTAAAAAAATTAATTTTATAAGAATTGTCAACTGGGGAACAAAACCCCTCAGACAAACTATGTAATGTTTCTGGGGCTGACAACAATACTCTTCTCAACAATGGAAACAAAATGTCCACATTCGGGTCTCATAAACTATGCTGCTTCAGACGAGGATGCCTGGACTCCTGGAGTAGTACCACTGAGGGAATTGTAGCCAGTGAGACACTGGGTTCACAGAGACCTGATTTCAATCAGTATAACCCAGGGAGTACAGTGGCCATGCGAACTGTCCTTGTTTTGAACTAAAATGGAGAACTTGTCGTTAGGTCATTTTTAAATCTCCAAATTTTAAATTCTTCCAAACACCTTCATCCACTCCCTTTGTTAGCTCCTGGTGATGAGACCTGACAGCTTATGGTCCCTTCACTGCTCTGCTCTAACCCTGTGACTGTCAGGCTTCTTTCTATTTGTGACAGTCACACACAACACTAGTGACCTCTCACCTCCCTGGCCCTAAGCATTATGTGGTACCTATGGGTTTTCATTTCCTGAAGCCTCTTTCTCTTCCCCTGTAGAATCACCCTGTACGACTACCAAGCCATGTGTCGAGCTAACAAGGAGAGCAGCGACAGTGCCCATGGACTGCTGGATGTAAGTACAAAGCTGCTACCCAGGTAGTAACTGGGGGTTTCTTCTGCCTTGGGGGAATGTGGCCCAGACTGCAGGGTAATCAAATGCGCCAGCCTTATTCAAAACCAAGCATGTTTAAAGGTATTTCCTGACTTCACTCACTGAGAACTGCTTCTGTTTAAACCCAGATCCACGGATTATATAAGTGAAATTCGGGTCAAGGTCTTAGGTAGATTAATGAACAGTCCCCCCCCCCCCCTTCATAGACAAGAAGAGAAGTTTCACTGAGTGTTACATATAAGAATTAAAAATTTGATTTTGATAACAGAAACTGTTCTTCTGGGGACATTGAGACAGTTCGGTCACTAAAATTCTTCCCACATAAACATGAGGATCTGAGTCCCCAGTGAGGTGCCCACACGAAAAAGAGAGCCAAACGTGGGAGTGCACGTGTGTAACTGAGATTTAGCTCCCGCCCATAGTTCCCAAATAACTACTCTGAGTCTTAATAGTAATTGCAAACTGTTTGGCTGATGGCTTTAGGCTTCTTACTGGCTAGCTCTGCATATACATTGGTCCATTTCTAATAGTTTATATTTGACCACAAGGCTCATGGATGGTTACCCCACATCTTGCTTCTCTGGTATCTGCTGGCATCTTCTCCATTTCGTTTTTTTTTTTTCTCCCTGTCTCTCTGCTTGGATTTCCTGCCTAGCTATAGTCTGCCCTGCCATAGGCCAAAGAAGCTTTATCAACCAATAAAAACAGCACATATTCGCAGCATGCAGAAAGGCATCCCACATCACCCATCTGTAACCCAGAACAGAGCAGATGTCTGGCCAGCCAGAATCCCTGAACTTGAAGGTGTTTGAGAAACTTCAACACAAAAGCCAAAGTGGATTGCAGCTGGGGGAGCCATCTGCAATCTGCCTCTGGCCTACACACACACACACACACACACACACACACACACACACGCACACACACAACCAAGCACTTTCACAAACATGTTCACATGCATGTCCCCCAAGTATGTCATAGCCTAGGAGCAGGAAACACGCTGCTGTGTCCCAAAAAATTGCCTCCAGACTGTCAGAAATTCACTATTCCTGTCTTAAAAATGTAATTTGCAATGTACAGAAAATATCAGTTTGGCCATTAATTACCTTAAATCTCAGATAGTTTATTTTTCTTCCTTAAAGGAAGAAATCTCGCGTTTTTGTTTTTCTTCCTATTCTTCAAGATAGGCCACAAAGGTCTACAAATATAACCCTTGACATGTCATTTGGGAAATACTAAAATCCAACCAAAATTTTCCCTTAAATTGCAAAACTATCTTGCTACACCATATTGGCCCCTGTTAGACGTAAGACAGACTTTACAAGGGCATTATCTAAAAGCCAACTGCTTCTTGAAGTGATTCTTCTCCACTGAGTGTTTCAGAGAGGCGGCTGAGCAGTGGGCTTTACAGAAAACACCCCTTAAAGGGACCTTTGGAGGAGAAGGCCACTTCTAATGGAGGCTTTCTTTACCACACTATTTGCAGATTTGAAATGTCCCAAGATTGGTTTTCTTCCTCATTACTGTCAAAAACCTCAATGGCCTTCTCCTGCTCATTGATCTTTTGCCTTTAAAACCCTAATCCCTATTAGCATAATCCTTTTGTTTGCTAAGATATCCAGTTTGGGCTGGGTCTAACAAGTTCTTCTGGAGGGAGTTTTTTCCCCCTGGCCTGTGGCGAGCCACTGCCAAGCTACACAGCCTGTCCTCTCTCTCTCTCAAAGCCACCTGCACTACTATCCCAGGGGGAACAAAGACCCAGAATTAGCCCATGATCTGACTCCCTGGGTCTTTCTGGGCCTGGGGAAAGTGATAACTTCAATGCCAGAATACCTAATAGCAAAACCGTGGGACTTGGTGACACATTTGGTTTTAAGAAATTGTTAAAAGTTAGTATCTTTCTCTGACCCTAAACCTGGAGACCCAGAGTCTTCTGGTACAGGGACTTATGTTGAAGATATTCCTGAAATCAGAGAATGAACTACATACACAGCCTTGCAAAGCAGGATGGGCTGTGAAGACGTCCCATAGGTTTACTTTTTGTTTGTTTGTTTGTTTGTTTTGTTTATGCTGCTCTCTGCTGCTTTCTGAGTCTAGACAGGGGCCTTTCCGCAACTGTTAGGGGACTACAGATTCACTCTTGTTTTATTGACTGGCTAAGTCCTCCATTCCCAGCTCTGGTTCTTGTAATTAAACCGCTCACAGAGGAGGATTAGGCAGCTGTTGCCCCAGAAACCAAGATTTGGCACGCCCTTCCCTAAATGGCAGCCGCCAAAGGTGCCGAGGGTTTTCTGGACCTGCTGTCTGGAGCCCTGCTCTGCCAGTGCCATCGTCTGCCTCGCAAGTCTATGCACCGCTTACATATCTAACATACCTAGGTACAAAGAACCAACTGAGGGGGACATGGTATTTTCCAGAATTCAGGAAATTGAATTATCCACATAGGAAATATCACAGAGTAAACAATCCGACTGCTTTTTTTAATTAAAATATTCTGAAATAAAGATTAGGCTGTCAATGCCTTCTTTTATAGCATGCAGGGGACTTTCTGCAGGGATAAAATCACATGTTCATATGGTTATCATTTTTTCAAGTCCAAATATGTAAGTGCGAGAAAGGGCAGTCCAAATCCTACATAATTCATGGAAGGCATTAAAATCAAGTGTGTTCAATTTGTGCTTCTCTCCATGAATGACACACAGTGATGGAGAACTGTGAGCCACCTTTCCAACGGGGAGTGCTGTGAAGTACCATTGGAAATTAGTTCCATGATTCCAGCCCCTCAGCATCAGGCTGTGAAATATTAGCCCCGAGAGGGTAAAGGTTTAAGCATCGTTTGTTGAACTTCCTCCCCCACCCCCAGTGATAACCCTTGCATTAGATCATGTTTATTTTACTTGTAAATCACATCTTACTACAGGGGAGTTCAAAGTTTTAAAATGTTAGTTTTGGGATACAGTATCCAAGCATTTTCTTCCTCGAGCTAGACCTTCCCTGGTTTTTAACATGATATCCATCTCTCCAGAATAACATTGTCTCTATGTAAAGCCTTAAGTCAAACTACAAACTTCTTATGTAATCAGTTGTTTTAATGGGGTGAATTCTTCCCTTCAGCCCTATAAGGCCTTCCTCTCAGCAGCCAAGTGGATAATGACTGAACTTGTCTTGTGAGTACCATCTGCTATATTCTTTCCCACAAGCACCCCTGTTGCTCTGTTTCTCTGATACGGTGAATGGGGAGAGGATGCTCCCTGCTCTCGCTAACCTTCGATCCATTTTACACCTCCAAGTACTGACCTCTGAGAGCACAGCGCTATCTTTTTAAATGTTAGTTACTCACACCCACTCTCTATGCCTCTGTGTCATTGTTGAGCAGACTAACAGCTTATGATCCACAAGCCAAATCTATTTATTGTGGTTACTGTTAAATTTAACACGGATGCCTGGCTGTCTTAATGCTGCCTGGGTGGGCTGTGGTCAGGAGAACACACAGCCAAACTGTCCACTGTTGCTGGGATGTATTGGCTTGGGCGGGAGCCAGGTTTACATGGGCCACAGAAAGGGGCTAGGGGCTCTACTCTAGGTATGGGTTAATAAGTTAACCTTATCAAATTGTGGTCCTCTTTTGAGAATGCTGGATGACTTTATGACTTAAGTCAGACTTGAATTGCGACAGGGAGGAAAACTCTGGCTTACAGATGAGGCAATGGACACTTTGCAGCATGGGGTAGCCCATGAATAGTATGTTGGCCAGACTGAGCAATTTATATCCAACTGTCACTCTTCCTCTCTCCCAGCCAGGATTTAGTGCTGTAGGTTTAAGGCAAATCCCTTGCCATCTGGCAAATTGACATTGTCTTTTTTTTTTTTACTTTAATGCAATCTATATTAATTCAACAATGTTTATAAATCCAAAGGCAAACAAGTGTTCTGTATATAGAAGAAATAGAAGATGCATTAAGGCTACTGGTAGGATTTTGATGGAGAGGTAGTTGTTAGGGATAGTAGCCTTGAGTATGATAAGAAAATGAAAATTATTATTTTTTTTGATCTGTCACCATTCATTTAGGTGATTTATATTGTCTTTGAATCCTTAACTATAAATTGAGATATTTGGATTTTTCTGAACTTGGGTTATAGCATAATTTCAGTAAAAGTTTAACCTACTCTTTGCCCCATGCATGGGTATAAACACATTTGCTAAACCCATCCTATATTGCTGCAGACCATGGTTCTGACCCAGAAGAATACTCTATTTTTAAGTTCTGAAATAAGGCAAAGGGTCCTTTAGAAATTGTCTATCTATTATAGAATACAATCAGGTGATATTATAAGTAAATTACCAGAGGCTGACTTCTGATCAAACAGCAGACATTTCTCAACTAAAAATTCTTCTCAACTAGGAGACCACAATCTCGGGGCTATGCTGATGGTAAACAGCTTTTTCAAAGTGAGCTGAAACCCAGTGGTAATTCAATGGGAACTCAGTCAGCCACAGCAGTGTTTCCAAAGTGCAGGGTTATTCTGTCAAATGGAGTGGGGGCAGCACCAAATGACATATAGTCGTTCTGTTCAAGCTGGGGCTTAGATGACCGTCTAACCCTGGGCTTCCATTGTTTAGGTTCCTGGTGGAATTTAACCTGTGCAGTTGGTGGCACTCGGATGTGACAGCCAAAGGTGAGAAGCAACTGAAGTTTCTGTTTCTTAGTGTGAGTGATGAACCCTGGGCACTGATACTTTTTTCATCAGAGATCTACTCGCTTGCATTAAACCCCACAGAACATGGTGACCGTCCTTCAGCTCTGTCGGCAGGAAGCCACCTTGCTGAAGCCTATGCTATGCAGTCTGACAGAATTCTACAGATTCTTTCCACCCGTGTTCACTTTGACCTGCTTCCCCAACAAAAGTGGAAAATCATACTTTGGAAGGGTCTGAAATCGTCAGAAAGCTAATAGGCAACATGAAAAGCTGAGCGAAGCAGACAAGTCATCCATGTTCCGACTAGCTGAACGGATAAACACTCTAGTTGTGTCTGCACAACTGCAGAAACCTGAGTTGATATTTTGAGTGGTAGTTAGTGGACATTCTCAGAGACCCAAGACAGGTCTATAGTATGGTTTAACTCAGGCTTCAAGTCTTACATGTGGCAAACCAGTTGATCTTACCAAGTTCTAATTTCCCCATCATAAGAACGGTGGGAAGAATATTTCTCTCTCTCTCTCTCTCTCTCTCTCTCTCTCTCTCTCTCTCTCTCTCTCTCTCTCTCTCTGTGTGTGTGCTGTGTGTAAGTTTGTGTGTGTGTTATATGTAATAAGCTAGATAAATTATGTTACCTGATGATCAGAGTAAATGGAACCTAAGATGCTACTGTAACTAATCTCTGATGATGAAGACGACAGTGTTGACATTGGCAGTGATGATGTTTGCCTTCAAAGCCTTCACTCCAGGGTGAGCTGTCCCCAGCAATCTCCCCTAGGCCTTCTCACCCAATGCAAGTTCTCAGATACTCTCTGTTTTTGTTTGGCTTTGTGTGTGTGTATGTGTGCTTTGTTTTGTTTTCTGAATTCTTTAACGTGGATGTTAAAGACTAGTAGGCTACAAGCATGAATTTTATTTCCAACTATTTGTTTTCATTTTAATGGTAAGATCATAAAGTGGTACAACTTAGGTGTTGGATATTTGCCTTGCGTTCCATGCCTTAGGAGCCCTCTGTGGATTTTCTGAATGCCCAAACACTTCCTTCTGCTTCCCCCTCAGTCCTTTAACACTCAATCCCTGCCCTCCTCTACCATGGTTACCTTTCTTTGCTTCTTTTACATGACACTAGGTTTCCTTGGTGATATAACTACTTATTCCCATCAGTACCCAACTGAGGCTGAGGGCACAGTAAGGATTTTGCTTATTAAATACCCTATTGGGTCATTCTTGTGCCAGGCATGACTCCATCAAGGCCACTGGGTGGGCACTAGTTTTGAATTGTAGCATACATTTATTATCCTAGTCTTGACATTGACCATGAGGCCATAACTGAGACTGTTAGGAAGGGCTTCCATGGTTGATAGGGCACTCACAATGCCAAGCGATGGTGGCTTGTTCAATGTCCCTAAGGAGGTCATTTTAGGATTCTGATTCACCCACAGAAAGGTTATTATATCGGCACTGCAAAAGTTTGGATGAGATTTGTAAAATATTGGTATGCTCACTTAGCCAGATGCAAGACCCACAAGCTAATCAGGAAGCAGAGACAAGAGAACTGTTTTGAGTTAAGGAAGTAAAAGCTAGCCTAAGACACATAGCAAGATCTATACCCTTCCCCCCCAAAAAAATCATAAAAATATGTAAAATGATAAACAAAACTCCAGACCTAAGATTTGTAGTCCAGTAATGGGGGGCTGTGGAGTTAATATGGTCAGAAATCAGCATGAAGAATGGGAAGTTAGTAGACAGGGAACAAACCATGACTCAGGGTAGCAGGAAAAAAAGACTATTATAGCCCCTAAACCTGTGGCCTGTGGTCTAAATTTGTTTTTGTTGATCTTATATACATTTTATAAAAGAAAGGTGAGGTGGGGCCGAATAAATCAGTAGATTTGGAGGGCTTGAGGTGCAGCTTAGCTAAGACCATCTTTCTATAGCATCAATAGCTGAGAACAAAGACTGACTCCCCCTAGAGGAGGCTGTGATGGCTCTGAAGGGGTTGTCTAGCCCGAAAGTTAGACCCTGTCTCTGAAGGAAGTTCTGGGAGTCTCTGGTTTCCTTGATGGTTAGTAAAGGTTGGTCAGGTGCAGTACAAGCTTGAAGTGGGCACTGGTGCGCATGGGCAGGAATCCAGTGCGAAGTGAGTATTCTTGCTTTTTAAGGGTGCCTCACTCTTAGGAGTGAGATTTGTACTGAGAGGTGGTGGGCTAATCATGTTTGGCACTTCATGTTTGCACGTTTGGTGCCCAATTTCTTCACATGCCCCCTCACAGATGAGCAGGGAACTCTTTTTATTTATTTATCTTGGTTGTTTCTTTGTGTAGCTAAGAATGATCCTGAACTTTTGATCCTCCTGCTTCTATCTCTCCGATGCTGGCATGTTGCCTTCTTTACACATTGTGGAGGACTAGATCTTCCTGAATGCCAGATAAATGCACTCCCCACTGAACCATATCCTCAGTCCCCAAGAAAGACCTTCTTTGTGTCAGTTTCTACACCTAGAGAGAGACCCCCCCCAATTCTCACCTTGACCTCTCATCTCAAAAGCCACCCTCACTTTTGTTTCCAAAGGTTTAACAATTTTTTTGAGAGCCCATGACTGAAGTCTTTGCTGAGAGAACAGTATCATTTAACTGAGGGACAGTTCTGTCTCCCACCAGTCCCTGCACTCTCGGGAGGCGTGTCTGATTGTCACAGTTTGCTACTGGCATCTAGTGGGTAGAGGCCAGGATGCTGCTATTCCTTAAGGACAGCCCTACAACATAGCAGCAGCTGATTCAGAAAATCAACATCGAGAAGTTCTGGTCTTGATGGAGGGACACCAGTCAGGGCAGAGTGATTAATAAAGACATGGTTACTGCCTGGACTCTATAGATGCTCTAGAAGGTTCCCACACCGAGTTCTACATCCCTATTCCTCCACAACTGTTCCAACACAGGTCAAAATGACGATGTGATGTTTTAGTTCTCAGTGTTCCCTCGTGAGAATTTTCCTACGTATTTTCCTAATAGATAATGTCAAAATGTCCATTTTATTCTAGACCAGTGCTTCTCAACCTTCCTAATGTTTGTGACCCTTTAACACAGCTCCTCATATTGTAGTGACCCCCAACCATAAAACTATTCCATCACTACGTCATATGCAGGACCTCTGATATGTGACCCCCCAAGGGGATCATGACCCACACTTGAGAACCCCGGCTCTAGACTGTGACACCTTCATCCCACAGATTATTAGAAGATTATTAGAAGACATTGACATTGAAACTTTGGTATGCTGACAGAATATTCCAGCATTTCAGCGTGCTCGGAAACCCTTCCAGATCCCCTTCCAGGCTCCCCTCCACTGCAGCTGGGAGGTAGTCCCTGGAAGAACTTCTCACCAGATTTCTCCAAGGACCCATTCAGGCAAATAGGGAGGATGACAGAAGCTTTGGAGGGAGCATGCACACACACAGACCTACCAAGACCTTCTACCTGCATGAAAGTCCCAGCTGCCTTCCTTCATGGTGTAGAGCTGGATCCCACATCTGAGCCGTCTCACTCGGACCCACGGCCATCTATTCTACTGTGTGTGTGTGTGGGGGGGGGGATATGGTTTTTGCCGTGTTGTAAATGAAGACACTGGAACAGAGGGAGGTGTGTGGATTCATCCATGGGGTTCTGTGACTGGAACTCTGTGTTAAAAGTCTGTGTAAATCCTGGATTCAGTGTTTACTGGGAAGAAATGGTCTCCACACCATCTCGGCTTGCAATTCATTCTAAATTTACTATTCTCTCGCAAGATAAAGACCCTGAGCTGAGACATACATCTTTGTTTTAGCTAAAAATAGAATCCATAATTATACTGTTTATCTGCCTCATTTCCTTGATTAAGGGACTGTGGAAACCCACTTCTGCTTGATTACCACAAAGGTCTCATTTGGGTGAAGTTTCACAAAGACAATGGAGCTTGCTGGCACCCGGTTATGAATGGGGCTGCATTCACGGAGACAAAAGGAGAGAGAGGCTTTTCAAATGGCAAATCTATCCATTCCCAATTGCCTGCACGTAATTACGGTGAACCCAAGTCCGTTATTCTCATTAGGGACATTTGTTGCTAAGGGGAAATTCAAGCAATCTGATTGTGTAGATGTCCTATTGAATGCTCTTTGGGGAGCGAGTGGAAGGTCATGGTGACATCAGCTTCAGGTACCCATGCAACTAGAGTGAGAGGCAGATTAGAGTTATTATTAGCAAGTGTGGCTCCCAGATGAGACTGTCCAGGTGCACACCTGGTCCCTGCCACTCCCCGCCATGTGGCTTTGAACAGGCATCTTAATTTCACAGAGTTTTCGTTGCTTCGTCCACCAAATTATGTAGTAGCAGCGCCTCGCTTGATTGTGTGGTGATGAAGGCCCCATTCAGAGACGCCCAGTGACTCCTGCCCCGAAGCACCTCTTGAGTGGGAATTGCTGAGAGGCTGTAGTTTTTTGCACTTAAGTAGATGGTGATGGTAGAAGGGGTGTCACTCAGTGTAGATCGCTTGCCTAGTCTAGGTGATGCCCTGGATTCCACCCCCAGCACTGCCGTCAATCAATACGTAAGATTATGACAAACTGCTCTATTCAGCCATCGGTGCAGCTTGTTTCCAGCTTCAGAGCCACAGCTGTCCCTTCAAGGAGAAGAAAGAACCAACCTCGGCTAGCAGCAGCATCTTTTAGTGCCTCCAGCTTAGCTAGATCCCAAGTTCTGAGCACCGGGACTTAAAGCAGAACTCACTAAGTAGATGGCTGGCAAAGTCTCGGTTACTGGTTTGAAATCCCAAAGATAAGCAGTAGTGGCTGGCAAACCTGAATGGTGTTTTCCATAGCGCTCTAGACAAAGAAAGGCCCAGGCTAGGTAGAGCAAGTGCGGCCGTGGCTTCCTGGGATAATTTGTATGTCTCTCTAGAGCACACGGCTAGTCAACATCGTGCCGCAAACAGTGTTTATCCTACATCAGCATGCGCACCCTGCAATTGTCAAAGTAGAAAGAACTTCATCTCCAGTAAGGATCAGGGCCAAATGAGCTTCGCCATGGACATTTTGAACCCATTCCATCATAATAGAGCCCAGACAATTAGAAGTAGAGATGCCGAAATTGTCGGGCTTATTTAAATCATGTGTGTGCGCCACCGCCCCCAGCCCGCCTGGAAGACCTCTAGCTTCCTTTCATTGGCCCTACTCGACAAAGCTGGAAAGTCAGTTTTGGCTCTGCCATCTACTTCCTGGGGGAATTTGAACAATTTCTTTCCATCTCTTCTCACTCCCACCTCCTCCACCTAACAGAGCCTTCTTTAATAGTGAAGCACTTCGTCTTCACTTCTTTAAAACAAAAAGAACTTCCTACTTTATTTTTAAATCTTGTCATATTTTGGTGTGAAATGAATGTGTATCAAGTGGAAGAGGTCGGACACACAGCAGTTCTTTAGTGAACATCGTTTGCCGGCAGGTGTTTATCTCCCGTTTGCATGTGTGTCTCACACTTATAACCTACACTACTGTGTATTTAATCCTTATTCTGTTTAGAAGTGAGCTTTTTGAAATTCTGATACTGAAACTCTAAAGAGGAAGCTGCCTAAATTGGACGTAAGTATCACTTGCAGAACAGGGAAAAATCAGTTGTGAAAATAAGAAATTGTGTTGCCAAACTGTTGCCAGATGGCCCCTTCCCCCAGCTAAGAGTCAACAAAGGAAGGAAGTAAAGGAAAGGTGAGAACAATGCATCCACCCGCCCCCACCCCAGAGTATCAAGCAAAGCTAAGTCCTCTCTTCTGCACCAAGGGAGAACGGGAAAGGCTGGGTCCTACCAGGTGCTCTGTGAGCTCTACCATGGGCATGGATCAGGGCACATCTCCTCACCTTCCTCCTCAGGGACAAGCAGTTTGTCACAAGGGGCTAAACTTCTTCCATTTTCTTTATCTGCTATATTTGGGGAAAAAAAAACTCTATCCAAGGCCCTGGAGAGATGGTTTTAAACCATCTCTGTGTGTGTGTGTGTGTGTGTGTGTGTGTGAGAGAGAGAGAGAGAGAGAGAGAGAGAGAGAGAGAGAGAGAATTTGCCTGTGAAAAGCAGTGAGCAGTGTGTATATTAATGCTCGCTCTTCAACTAAGCCTTGGGTGGTTACCAATGACATTCACATACTCTTAAGATCGGCAACTGGTCAGTGAGGTCACATGTTCTAATTTTCTAGCTAAAAATAAATGAATTAAAAATAAAAAAATAAAAAGCTGAACTATTTTGTTTTAAATTAATAAAATAAATATGCCAGTGTCCTATGACTTGAAGCAGTTTCCTTGAAATAAGGAAACCTCAGGGGGAAAACATATATGCTCGAAACAATTGTGTTAGAATGTAAAAGCATAGGGCGCAGCTTACTGATGCCCTATAATTATCCAACTGTGAGCAGCTAGGCACTTTACAGTGCTGCTTCCATGGACCCGCTTAGATCCCACAGCATCCCAGGAAGGCAATTCGCCATGGTTCTGATATCCATCCACCTGCACCTGGAGTCTAACCCGACATGTTGTATTCTACACATCACGTTTTGGAGTTGCAAATGTAAATTTTATGTGCAAGCTTGATCCCATACATACATCACCAGAACCAAAACAAAACAAAAACCTGTGTATAGAGTCATTGGGAATATATGGAACTGGGAAACCCCAGGTACTCAACGGTGAAGCTGTAAGTTAGTAGAACTACCTGAGTACCTGAGCGATGCTGAGTACCTGAGCGATGTGGAGTACCTGAGCTATGTGGAGTACCTGAGCCATCAGCATCCCCACTGTGTGGACAAGAATGCTGAGGACAAGCTAGAAGTAGCAGAGGAGAATTTGTTTTCCAAATTTCTCTTTTGTAGAAGCTTTTGCCCTTAACCTGAGCTGTGGTATGCGTCATCATTGGCATTGTTTAATGCTACAAACCAAGAATGCATATTCTTTTGTTATTGTTATAACTAATCCAACCTTAGCACTATCTCCCAAACACTGTACTCAGTACTCCTCAGTGCTCACTTTACCCATCGACCTCTGAAAACAGAGCTTGATACAAATAAGAAAACTGGGACTTACAAGCATGGGTCCCGCCCAATGGGTGTGAGTTAGCTAACCTATTGGCTCACCAGTCACTCATTCCTATGTCCACGTTATTTAGTTATTCGTCTTGTGGAATGAGAAACTTCAGAATCACAGAATTTGGAGTGTGGTATACTTCAAAGAATTTATGTCTTTTACTATTATGTATTTCAATTTTCTTTCAATAATAGCACAATGCCATTGTATCATGACATTTATCTTGCCCTTGATAATATGGCAATATGGTATAGCTGACATTTTTCGGTGTATGTTCAGATTCCCAGATGTGTTGGTGTTAAGTCACTGCGAGTCTGAGGTCAGAGACCCCGTGGTTGATGCTGACCCAGAAAGAATTCTTGTGATGCATAAATGATAGTCGATCAAGCCAACACAACTGCTTTAGGAATTATAGCTTACAGAGTTGCTTGGCAGATGAAATCACTGGGCTAATTAGAAAATAATGCATTGTGCGGTGCCTAGAAAAATCACAGAGCTTCCGAAGTAGAACTGCATTTGAGCTGTTCTGGGTTGCCAGGCACGGCGTTGAGCCTGAACACCGAGCTTTCATTTTTTTTTTTTTTCCCTTTCCCCCACAGCACAGAAACTGAAACAGACCCTGGAGCCTTGTGATACTGAATACCCTGCCTTTGTTTCCGAACGCACCATCAAGGAGACCACAGGGAACATTGCTTGCGAAGACTGCTCCAAGTAAGCCACCCCCAACTCCCCCTCCCCCCCCCCCCCCCCCCCCCCCCCCCCCCCCCCCCCCACTGTACACACCTTTCTGTTGCACGTGGAACTTTCCCCATGGGCCAATAAACTGGAGCACACATATATGTACACTGGGGGCAAGGAAACATGGCTGCCCTCTGGTACAGAATGTAATTCTATCAGCTGGGAAGAAGCAGGTCTCAGGTTTTGGAAGATAGAAGAGTTTAGTTCAGTTTGTTGGCGTTTTCCCAGCTGACAGTCCTCAACTTCAGCAAATGTCCTGAACTGTGTTTAGCCAGGACAGTGCGCCCTCATGTATAGCTGAATCCCACTCAACAGGCATGTCTTCTCTGTGTTCTGATGTTGAACATTTTTGATCTGAAAAATGAACATAATTTAATAGTTTTATTGGTCATTTAGAGACTCTTGTCTTTGCTCCTCTTGGGCACGTGCCTCCTGGATAATCGGATCCGTTCTTAGTGATTTAGGTACTGTGCGTTTCCAAGACTATGTTCTTAGTAGCTACAGACACTCTCTATGTGCCATCCTGTCCTTTGGTCTTTTCACTATGGATGGATGACCCTTGATGAATATACGTTTTCTTTTGCCTTTATTTTAATATAGTTTGTTTTGTTCTTTTCTGGTTTATGCAATCTTATGGGAGTCTTTGCCTCTCCTAATATAGCGATGCTTCATTTTCACTCTGAGCACATGAGTGAGTGTGGTTTGCATTTAGAGCTTTAACCTCTTGCAGCTTGGATGTGCCACCCAGCACAAATGCAGCTCCGACTAGTCCTTTGTTGTATTGTAAGCATAAATCTGTACCGAGTTTTCAATGTGTGGGTGGTGGGGCATGCCAACAGATTGTTCTATGTATTTTATATCTAATAGTTCTTATGTGGATTCCCTGAGCTTTTTGCATAGAAAGTGATATTATTTCCGAAAAGTGTCTGACATCCGTGCTAATTATTGTTTCATGATTTGTGACACTAGATACTATTGATCAGACGTTTCTATTAATTATGTTTAATAATATCATGTTAAATATGAATTTGTTAGATTCTTATTATAGAAGGCAAATAATGTGAAATTTTCATATTAGCCATTTTTCCACACCACGTTTTAGTTATGTTTAAAGGAATGACGGTGTGAACATTCCCTGCTATAAAGAATGATTCTAGACTATGCTGATATCCCTCAGTAAATGCCATAATATCTTTGAAGAATAGAAAAATTTCTGAACTTCAAATTTATATTACTTAAAAATTCTTGGATAGTTTCATACATGTGTGCAATGCATTCTGGTAACACCCATCTCCCTCCCCCCTCTTATCTGCCTTCTGCCCCCATCATCATACCTTGAACAGGGTAAATATTTACATATATGTATACAGTGCAGGAACATGTGAATACCATTGTCACCACTGTTGGTTAAATATTTCCTAGATTAAGGAAAACATCAAGAGTTTCTGTTGCTATCATTTGATACCTGAATGGATACTGAATTTTATTTATATTTTTTGGTTGCTTGTTTGCTTGGTTGGTTTTTCGAGACAGGGTTTCTCTGGCTGTCCTGGCTGTCCTGGAACTCACTTTGGAGACCAGGCTGGCCTTGAAGTCTCCCTTCCTCTTCCTCCTGAGTGCTGGGATTAAAGGTGTGTGCCATCACCACAAGGCACTGAATTTTATTTAAACATTTTATACTATTAAAGTAATTTATTCCTACGTTGTTTTTTGCTGATTTCTGTAATTTTTCATCATGTAATGTGCATATTTCCAAATTAATATATATATATATGTTTCAGGCACATGGATATGTGTATAATCATGTGTTCATGTGATGTTTTGCCTGATGATGCCCACCTTATGCTATAGTTGACTCATAAGATATATTGCCTGGTGACCTCATAGCATCCTCGTTTGCTTGTGCTTGATGATATTTAGACAGTGACGGCATCATCAAAGGACACAGTTCTTCAGAAAGTACAGGGTTCTGTGTACGAAGGTGGGTGGCTGTGCCTTTCATGGCAGAAATCTTAGTTGTAGTGAAAATTAGACCTGCTTTCTCCAAATAAAAATGCCATTGTCATTCACCTACCACAAAAAATAAAAAGCAAAAACATATTGCTAAATTCATTAGACTTTTTTGGCAAATATTGTGCTCAAAAGTGAAAGTGGCTAGACTTTTCATTCCTGTGTTATCGTTTGACTTTCCTGTTAAGTTGCTTGCCACAAAATTACATAGTGGATTTTCCCATTTTCTACTATGTGTGACATTCTTATAAAACAGATTTACGTATTTCTCCTGAATTTCACAGAAATTCACAAAGCTCCCAGCGGCAGATGGGAAGTGCAGGGTGAGCATCTACAGTTATTTAGTAGACAGACCTCTCAGATTTTCTATTTCTCTTTTCTAATTTTTTTTCATTTTAATATTTTTTAATTTAGCGTGTAGAATTATGGGTTTCATTATGTCATTTTCATACATACATATTCTTTTCATTTCATCCTTTTTATTTTTAACTAAGTTATTATAATTCTTTTAACATTGTTTCATCTCATTTTTAAGTTTATTGAATTTATTTATAAATGGTGTTTGATTTAAAATGCTAACACATTTGCTACCTTTGTCTCTTTTCTTTTCCGTTCTTTTTAAAATGTTATCTAGTCTGTTGAAGACCATGCGTATCTGTGGGCTTCCACATGATGTTTTAATATATATTGTATAGTTATTCAAATGAAGGTGAGCGTGTCTCCTCAGGTATTTATCAGTTCATAATGTTAAACATATTCAAATTTATCTCTTCTGGCTTTTTAAAAATGTTCAGTGCACTGTCCCCTTTTAACCTGTGGATTTTTAGTTCTTTCTCTCCCCCCCCCCCCCCCGACCTCTCTGTTTCTGCCTCTTTCTGCGTCCCGTTACCTCGCCTCTCCCACTCTCTACTGTCAGGGGTGTGCTTGTTTCATCCTCCCTCTGTGCTTTGGGTTTCCTCTGTTTTTAATCTTGGAATGTCTACTGTTTAGTGCTCGGCTCTTCTGTGTGTGCTCTGTATCTCTCTCCATTCCACAGCGCGTCTTTATTTCAACAATAAACAAAAAGAGACTCAAAACCCATTTACTAAGAAACTTCAACCATCATTTTTTTTAAAAAAAAAAATGTACAGCTACAAATGGCTTCAAGTTAGAAAAGCTTTATAGTTAATATTTCAAACCTGGATATTAAGTTGAATCATCTGCCAGATTGATTCCTTGAAGACGTATTTGTGTGTGCTTCAGGTGCTTTTCTTTCCCAGGCTTTGTCTTTATCTCTTTACTCTCTTAGATTTCTCTGTTTTCTGTACTCCTGTTTCTCCTTCCGAGAGCACAGCTGTGTCCTCTGTCTTTGCAGTGACCACCACCTGTGCTCTGTGGACATGTTTCCACTGGCTAGAACCTCTCCCTTTCTCATGAACAAACGAAAACGTCTGTGCCTTCTAACAGGCTTACCCCCTAGCTCATATGTGTAGTTCCCACACTCTGTATTTTTAACCTAGTTGCTTTCTCATTCCCCTTACGATTGAATGTAGTTTATTGCTGGTTACCTCTGCCACCATGTTTCTTCTGCCGCTGTTGTTTTGGAGTGTTATTTTTGGTTTGTTTCTGTAGGAATGGTGTAGGAGCGACACGTTCTTTCATGTTTTCCTTAAAGCCCTTCCTGTGCTGTAGCATGTACACCGTCATGACAACCAAAGCCTCTCCTGTGCTGTAGCATGTACACTATCAATCATAAAGACCAAGGCCACAGACTCTGGAGTAGAAATATTCTCTCTGTCTTCCACATCTCATCTCTGTGCGTCAGTAAGTGGTCTGGTCTCTCTTTCCTCCTTGTAGATGACTTCCACAGAGTTCCTTCTCTAATGTGTTTTCATAATTTGTTCAGACGATTTTCAGCACCAATTTGTTATTTTTTGCTCATTGGCTTTATCTTGTGTGCTGTTTTTTTTTTTTTTTTTTTAAACTCAATTTCTTTTAGGGCTGCTGATTAGGATGTCCATTTAGTTCTTGATATGCATGACTTTCTAGAAGATTAATTTGCTTCTCTTAAGAGTAGATTTCTTTCCTACAGTCCTTGTTAGGTTCTCTGTCATAAATATGGACCTTTTAAGAATATTCTAGTAGCGTATGTTGGAGAGCTGCTGATCCTCTCGTGTCTGTTTTCTTGGCTGGTAGGTTCTTGTATATCCTGTTCCATTTCTTAGCTCAGAACTTGTCTCATGTACTAGTTATTATTCTTTGGCATTAGCACAGGGCTCAGATTTCTATGGTAGCTGTGCCTTTGGACTTCTCTGATGCATCCTATTAGTATTGACTGCCTGGGAATAGTCGTTATGGAAGTCTTCATATTTAGGGTTTCATCACCATATAATTATGGTACATATTTTCCCTAAGCAGAATTCATTTTCAGATGCAAGTCTGATTTCTCACGGGCACTGCTGTTTTTTCCTGTTCAGAGCTTCTGAGCGGGTCAGATTAGCAGCTCCTTATACTCAGCTGTAACCGTGCAGTTTGGCTGTCCTTCCTCCCGTAAGCACTCTTGTACTTAACTGTGTTTTATCTTCCCATCTCATCCCACATGCCTTAGTGTTTTCAGGATGGTTTTCATGTTTGCCCAGTCTGTCATGTCATAGCTTATTCTTCTGACTAGATATTTATTCTAGGGTCACCACAAGAAAGTGGTGAGTCTATGTAGGGGCCCTTGGAAGTACAAAGTTCAGAGGGTGATCCCTGTCTTCTTAATTTCTTTGTGATGATGGGCAAATAATAATAATAATAGTAATAAATATCAGTAAGCATATCATGGACTCACTGAAAGAATCAAGTGGAAAAAATTATGTTATAAATTTAACACAATGCTTGGGACAAACTAGTACCCAGTAAATGACCACATTTCACGCATGTCCTGTGCACTAGAATACTAGTATGGGTGTCCCCTGCCCCGAAGTCCTATGTCAGAACCT